TAATTTTTTAAGTCCGTCAACGGCTTGAAAAATTCTGTCACACTTTAATGGTGCATCATCCCTTATCAACCCTTTAAAATGCTTCAATTGAACTCTACTTACTGTCGATTAATGCCCTTGGTACACTCACACCGTGTACTAAAGTTGGTTTTTCTAAGTTAACTGAGATATTGATTTTTTCAAAATTTGAAACCCCAGCTTAGCATTAGGTAAAGTAAGTTGCGTTAAATCACCATATTTTGAGTTCCCCTACATACCCCTGCTTTGTGACGTTCTTATGCGTACATCATAATGCGATGAGATTCTCAATGAACGATTTAACTTGTCTTTTGATGATTGAATGAAATCTGACCTCTTGTTGACGTCAACTAATACAGTTGTTGTTCTCGAACAAATTTAGATATTTTGCTATAACAAGACATTGAGTAATGTTTTAGATATAAAATATCAAACGGTTTGCACCGCGGCATGAAATAATTTTATGTTCAAAACTTGATATAAACCTCTATAAAAATAAACATGCTCCTTGGATAAAATTAAGCTCGACTTAGGTTAGCATGGTAGTGTTTTGATTAAAAAAAAAAAAATGTATATGACGTAAAATATCAGCGTTTCATTAATAAAACTCCGAGCTTTTAAGTAGTAACAGATTGTGGTGTGGAATTTTCTTAATTTTGGAGAAAGGACTGGGTAAATTCCTTGAAAATAAATTTTTTAATTTTATTAGAAAATACAGGCTGTTTCAAAACATACGTCGGACAATGACGAGTGTGATTCTTCTAAGAAAAAAAGTTCTTATTAACGTGGGTCCATTTCAGTTTTTTGAGGATATCTCAGGAACCATTTGAGATATAGAACTCAATTTTTGTACACGTATTATCATTAATTTTTGCTACTTTTGAGCGCTAGTTCCATTTTTATTCACACGACAGTGGCGGAGATTTTTTCCCGCATCTTCCGCTAGATGTCGCCATAATTCGTTTGGTAACTGAAGGAAATAGAAGGATATAATCATTGTTAAAATCATTTTATACGACAGATTCTACAGTCCATACGATATTGTTGAGATAGAACTCCAAGAAAATAATAAGCCAATAAAGTTATATTATCGGAACTACTATGGCAATTTGCTGCACCAGGAGCGTGTCTTGAGTTTTTACGCCAATGTCTTTCTACCTCAGGTGTCGAATGCGGTTAATTCCAAAAAAGTGACGCAGGGGCCTTCTTGGAATTATATCACAACAAATATCGTACGGACTGTAGCTTGTTTATATGCCGGTTTAGCGATGAATCTGGTAAAACTGAAGAATTTCACTGATTTTAAAAAAGTTATAACGTCACGATATTTTAATTCCTTCAAGACTTGATTGAGGTCAAAATGAAAAAAATGCGGGTCTCATATTTTTTAACCTATCTTGATTTTGTGACGTTGTAAAAAAGTTGTTTATGTTTACGCGTATGGTTGTTGTATTTGAATGTTTTTGTGCCCAGCCCAGAGTATCAATATCTGCCACATGTTTCGCGGTGTGAACTAACAGAACAAATATTTATTCTAATTTAAACTTAAACTTGCTGTCGACACTGAAGAGCGTCGCCTTGAATGTCAATGTGAACGCCAAAACGCGGAAAGAAGGCGAAAGCAGCTCAATCGTTGTGTAGACATAATGATGAGGACCATTAATAAGTCCCAAACCGACCTATGCCTGGTTGGTTAAACTTACAAACGATCCTGGGTGTTGTACTAGGTGTTGTGAGTTTGGAAGAAAATATTTTTGTTACTGAGAAATATTTATATCCAAATATATTTTTAAAATAAGTATATACAATCATTTGACCAAAACTATTCAGTTTTGTATTAAACAAACGATACATAATATACAATACGAAACATATTTCTATAAAATCTATGTAGTCCGGTCAAAATAGACATTTCAAATAACGAAAATTCCGACAGAGCTAAATTTTGGTGGAGACCTTGGGTATACCATTAGAAATAAAGTAGCAAAAGTCCCCATCGATCTCATATGTGCTAAAAAAGTTATTCGGGATCAAAAGTGAAAATTTGAGGTTTTTTAGATTTTTTTCGAAAACGATAAGTTTTATCAAAAAAGTAACTCTGACAAAAAATATAGACCTTAAAATTATCTACAAAAATGGTCCTTATACTTTTTTTTCTAAGAATCACCGTTCCTGAGATATCGCGATTCTAATAGTTGAAGGAGTTACGTTCTACGTAATATGCACACATTTCCACACCACCTGTGAGGTAGTGTACTTAGGTGCGTTTTTTTTAACGTGGTTTCCTCGGTAGGCCTACTCCACGAACTGTTATGACGGAATTTTCAGGGACAATACTCTTTTAACTGCATGATGATTATTGATATTGATATTGGTTATTGACTTTAACTGTAGTTCTGATTTCTTTTGATATTTTAATGTGATTCATACTCTTCAAAGTCGACTTCAACAGTCATGTCTTTTTCGATTTCTTCTTCTTCTTCTTCCTCTTCTTCTTGCTGGATGTTCATAAATTGTTCAAATGAAGATGAATCTGCTGTCTCTTCATCGAAATCACATGAATATTCGTCTGTTGTATTCAATTGGACATTTGAGCAAGACTGGCTTTGGCAATTAGTACACGCTGGAGAACACAGTAACCCTACTCTTCTACAGTCACATTTAGCACTACAAACTTTTTGCAATTGCAAAAAATAGTGCTTAGGAGTTTATCCGGAGCAGGTGGGAGTAAAGTTTGAATCGGTTCCAAAGTATTATCTGTTAATTTCCAACCCCAGTCTTCTGGGTTCAGTTGATTGCCTAGCCATGTCTGAACTTGATAGTATACTCGATACAAGTGTTGATTAGCAGAAGCCGATGTTGGAGGAAGACAAAATAGCGTGTATTTTTTACAAATGTTAAATATCTATATTTATCTATACAATCAATTTTTTTTTGGAGTCCATAAACAGCAGGAGAAAGCGAATTCCTTTTGTGATTATTGTTTGAGGTGAAGAATCAATTTCTACAAATCTTTTTTTCCAAATAATTTTAATACTGATGTTTTACACCTTCTGAACAACATTGCTGATGTAGTATCGCAGCCGGTTATCGCATGTAAAAATAAGATATGGTTTTGGCATTTTGGATAAGCAGATAAACTTTTTGAAGAATATATTTCTGTTCGCTGTTGAGCCTTTCCAGGTTTTAAAAAGTATATAATTTTATCAATTGGAGTGAGTGGTATTAATAAGTCAACATCTTCACCAACTGTAATAGTTGTATTTGAATAAAAAAGTATAAGGACCATTTTTGTAGATAATTTTAAGGCCTATAATTTTTTTCAGAACTACTTTTTTGATAAAACTTACCGTTTACGAAAAAAATCCAAAAAAAAAACCCTCAAATTTTGACCTTTGATCCCGAATAACTTTTTTAGCACGCATGGGATCGATGGGGGCTCTTGACACTTTATTTCTAATGGTGTACCAAAGGTCTCCATTTAACTCTGTCGGAATTTTCGTTATTTGACCACAATTTTTATCACTAATTTGACCGGACTAATGTGGATCATAAAATTAAGAATAGAATTCGTTTAACCGTAAGTATCAAATATATATTTTAAATGCTGGCTATATTTAAAGTAGGAAATTATATTTCTGGACAGAAATTTAAAATATTTAAGTAAATTTGTACATTTGAAGCATGTGCCTCTAAATGATGATAAATGAAAAATTTCATTTGTTTTATTAAAAAAAAAAACGTTTTCAGGAATTTCAAATTGAATATCCTTGTATCGCATTTTTCGGCAACTTTTTCTCTTATTTCGACAAGTTCCGTCACCAAATAAAATTTGGCGTATGCATTTCGGGACACCCTGTGTATTGTGATTACCTTGGACGACTAAAAATATTACCTTGCGCTCATTTCATTCTAGCTTTGAAATTTTATTAATATACATCTTGCTTCAAAGTAATTTTGTTATAATAAACTAGAAATACCAATTAAGTAATGTTGTTCAGATCATTGTTTTGATAAAAATTGGAATAGTTAATAACATATTGCGAATACTTATTTATAACTTGCAATACGTTTTATTTATTGTGGATATAAATTAGACTCAATTCTTTTAGATTTTAAAAGTAAATATTTGTTTGTAGGTGTTTCTCCAAAAACATTGAAAACAATGTATTACATTTATAAAAATAGTTCTAAACGCACACCCTCGTTGATATTCTTTAAAAATGACGAGTAAGTTCTGGGCGCTCTAGTACGTCGACTTATTGACGTAAGCTTACGTACGACTGTCGTCAAAATAAAAAGTGATAGTAAACAAACACAGAGTTTCTCGGGAAACCGCAGTTACTGTGTGTTATATACGAGATTCCGCTGAAAATATCTTGAAAATAAGCGCGAACAATCGTTTTAAAAATTCCTGATTCTTATTACTTGGATCTGGACAGCTTTGAAAAAATAACAAATAATTGATTATGTTTTAGAACCTAATAGACCACATACTTTCAATTGTTGTGTGGCATTATCACAGCCACCCCTAAATGTAACAAAAAACCTGCAGTGACTAGAATCAGAATTTGTCACTATAAATTTTTTAATCAGTAATTCGCCCAAATTGATATGATTTTTGCGAGGAACAACATTTTTTTCATATAATTATTCGTGTAAAAAGTGCAAAGTAGAACACTTAAATAATTATATCAGAAAATTATCTTTTATCAACTTTATGACAAGTGGTAAATTGTTTAAATTTTACATTAAATCGAAATAAAAGAATGAGTATATTCCAAAAATATCGCAGCACAAAAAGTAGTTGATAACTGTTTTCTATAAAGATCAAGGCCTTTATATTTTTTTATAAATTTTGTTTTATTAGTTTTTCAACGCAGACACTTGTATTAACTTTTTGAAGGAACTCAAAAATATTGGTCAGCACAATTTGGCGCCAACTAATATTAAATTTACTGACACACGATTTTAACACTTACTTCACTGGAAACTAAACACTGAGGGGGCGCAGAAGCCTCAACTTTTCTTGCAGTCGACTGAGGATACCAAGCTGAGTCGAAGATGGGCTAAACAGACACTGGACATGCTAGGATTCGAATGTTCTGAACTTTCACTGATCGTTCAGCGGAACTGTATTGAGAATAGCGCGGGAAAGGTATTCGTTTGTGGCACCCGTTCGCGAGAGAGATAAGCAATGAGCGGTTTCTCATATTTTGAGTGTATATATATAGCGATCTATACGGAAATCGGTGTGGAGCTCGATATCGACGGCAAAAAACTTGTTACGTTAACGTTTCCTCTGCTACTGACGCTTCAATTTTTTAAGGCCGGTCATGTGAGAGAAATAGTTTGGAATATAACAGTTTTAAACTTAAAGTATTTAGTTTTTTATTATGTTCAATTAATTTATTCAGTTTGTAGTACGTATACCTTATTGTTTTTCAAAGAGTAGTATGGTACCTACTATTTAATATACCACTACGACTAAAAGAACACTCATTCGTCCATAGCACTTTGTTAATTTGGAATCCGTTGCATTTTGATTTTAAAACTAATTACGAAATTCAAGACTACTAGGGAAATCATCTGTTTCCCTTCAATGTTCGAACGCCCTGTAGGCAGACGCCCCTCAAAATTCTGCAAGTGTGAAAAACAGATTTTGACGCGATTTGAAGATATTTCTATCTATTAACACTAACCACTCGATTGGTACGTTTTCCATTAGCATGTCCAACAAAAAACCTACAATTTTTAAATAAAGTTCTTATAACAGTACTGGAATATAGTTAATTTGAAATCTCGACATTAAATTTTTCTATTTTTTTAAATTTGGTTAAACAAATCAAGAGGACTTTCGTTGGGACTTTTGTTGCACTCGATATTTTCAAATATATAATTTTTGAAGAACGTTAACTCGTAAGTATAACGTAAACAAAAAAGATCTCGCTTATCCCAAAAGTTGCAATATGTCTTAAACCAAGGCTTGTACAGGGTGATTCACTATATTTTGACCCCCCTTTAACTTTTTTGTTTTAAGAGTTATAAAAAAAATGTTAAATATAAAAGTTGCACGATTTTTTATGAATTTTTCGAGAATGATAGTAGAAAAACAAATGACGTCCAAACAAAATAGCCGCGGATGTTAACTTTGTTAAGTTAAATGGAACACCCTGTATATTTTTACATATTTGGATAGAACGTTTTTTACTATCATTTTCGAAAAATTCATAAAAACTCGTGCAACTTTTATATTTCACATTTTTTTATAACTCTTAAGACAAAAAAGTTAAAGGGGGGGTCAAAATAAAGTGAATCACCCTGTACAAATATTTTTACAAAAATCGCAGTGACTAAATTTTTTTAACTAAAACTACAAAAACCGTGAATCAGCGTGAGAAAACACTACAAAATCACAACTGAAAAGGAAAAATCAAGGAAGTTGGTAATTTTTTTGTTTAAATTACTATTCTGGCATCGTACAGAAAAGAAAATAAAGTGTCAAACAAATTTACTATTAAAGAACGGCATCGCATAAAAGTTGTTTTCAATAAAAAAAGTTATTGTAACATTGTACGATTGTACCTACATAGAAAATAATATAAAATTTAACGCGCACATCTCTAGTTTTTATACTAATTGAACCACCATGAACATCGGAAGTAGCTGTACCAATTGTACAAGTTTTCTTCAGGGCATACAGTCTACAAGCTGAAAATTCAGAATAAGGAAAAATAAAAGGATATTTTTACTTCTTACGTTTGTTTCTCGTTACATTCCTTGAACTTTACACCCGTTTTGAATATACAGAAAATCACGTAGAGTACTATAAACCTTGCAGAATAATTTTATGAAACTATTAACACATGAATTAATCGTAATTATTGAGTATTTTTTACAAAATTCTCGACAAAACAGGAAAACACCGCGAAAAATTAAAGAGATGTAGCCTCAGTCAAAAATTCTTTAATATGCGCTCTTTCCCATACTGCAGCTTTTCTTGCTTTGTATCCTCTCGATTCACTCTTCAAATAAGCAGTAAGCTTGTTATATTTTCCATTATCATATTTTTGTAGACCTTTATAGTATATTCGTTAAATTCGCCGAACACTTTTTCGTAATGTTCCCTGGATTTCGCTGGCAATAAATGAGAAATTGCTTCTTGAGCTTCTTCAAGAACAGCCACAGGAACACAATTACTTTCTTGCATTTTTACCATATCCAGATAGAACAGTTTATTAAATAATTTATAATAAATGAGCAACCATGCTGTAGGTATAACAAAACCTACCACGTTTCATTGAGTACTACTAAGAAATATCAATTGCGAATATTTTTTTTTATTAAATTCCAATAATTGACTCCACAAATATGATTGTGATGTGATTATGGACAAGACGTTGTATTGCATTCGTGTTTTAATTGCCTTTTATCCACTTAAGAATATTAAATAAAAATAAAATGTTATTAAAATATACAAATAATACAATAAATAACTTTTATTTCAATGCAACAGGTACAGTGACTATTAATTTTTTTCATTAACTATGAACATATTCCAAAAACTGCGCAAGCTTGCACCACCAGTATCTCGAGTAATGAGATTATTTTTATTAGATACATTTATTAAATTAACTTATCAATTTTCTAAAAACTGTTTCAAATTAACTAGGTAAGTTGTTATCCTGCAATCGTCGATTGAAAATACATACGAGTATGCATGAGATATATTTTTACACAACTAAAGTAAATAGCTGTTGTCATTTAGCAAATTAACGATAATTATTTGCAATATTAATATAAACATAAATGAAACTTTCCTCATAGTATTTGTATTCTTACAATTTTATTGATATTTCACTGTACCTACTACGTTTTAAAACATTATTTGTATCCCCAGAGAAAACCAAATACGCTCGGTTATGGATAGAATGAGTTAGACGTACACAGACAAGGATAACCTTAACTAGAACGCCCCTCTTATTAATTTAAACCGAACGGCTTGACCCACCTTTTTGTAACACGCGGTATAATATTAGTCTCGACGTTATTAACAATTTATTCTGCAAAAACGCAATAATTCTTCCAAGCAAATGAGATGAGTAATTCAGTGGTGGTATTAGAAACCGGAAAGTTTTATTAATGGTGCACGGAAACTTTTGAGGAAGTTTTCAAAATTGGAAATCTCTTTCTGTTCCATAAATCGTTCTTTATGTCTTCCATATTAATTGAAAATTGGCAATAATATATAAAGGATTCTGTTGATGGTATGATTTATGCCAGACATTTTGTAAAAAATTTATAGGCGAGATTATTCCTCTTGTAAGAATTTTTTGAAAGGCCTTTGAAAATATGAAATGTTGCCACAGGAATGTGACTAAGAGTTATTTTGATTTATGAGGGACGTAATTTGAACCTTGTTATTTGAGTGATGGGCGTGAGTGTGTCGATCAAAATAGTTCATTGTAAAATTCAACAGCATATCAATTACAAAAAAAAACAAAAATTAATTATAGCTTATTATCTTCATTGAATTGCACAATTCAATACAGCAACAAACAACCAATGTTAACTTTTTTGTCTCTTTAATATCTTTATTTTGATATTTCGTTCATCTTTTACATAATAAACTCATTGGCTAAGTTTTGAAACTCACGTAGATCAGTACGATTCCTGATTTTTACCGCGATTAATTTTAATTAATTAATTTGTTTCCAGTGAATATCACATCATTCTAATTGCGTTCTGGGCAGCTCTGGGGAATATTTCGCATTAAATTCTTTTAAAAAACAAACCTGGTTGATTGCCACTTTTCTACTTCAATAGAGAATCTCAATGATTTCTTTTTGACGTCTGTTGCAAAAGTAGCGAAGCTGTTTATTACTTTTTAAGTGTTGATTTAATGAAATTGCTAATTTCTGTCTAAATTTGATTACTAATAACATCCTAACAAAATGACTGAGACATATCGGTGTAATAAACAAAAGGTACATAAAAATTAACGAAATAAACAAAATTCAAATCCTCCACAGAATCATGTAAAAACCCAGTTTACAAATAACAAATAATCATAGAAATTTTTTTTTTTATTTGGTGATAAGCAAGGAAGTATTTATCTTGGTATTCATTGCTCTCATATAGATTGCACTATTTACCCATCGCAAATGATCGTTATCGATTTTATCTCTACATGTAACGTGATTGTCCTTTCGTACTTGCTGGTCCTCATCAGTATACAATAAAGAAATGAAATTGAAAATGGAAATGCCAGATATTAGCACGCAATTTTCAAAGATTATTATTTCTCGAAAAATAGAATTTGGGACGTCTTGATAGAGGAAACTTGTTAAAAATGTCGAAATTGACCTTCCATTTACATATACATAACTAGTTATAACTTCTATGCAGTATATGCGAGTTTTTCGAATTATTTTAAACCAACAGCCACTGGTCTTTGAGATAGTGTTAATTTTAAAAAAAAGTCATATTTATTGAAATAGGTATCTCTGAAGTTGTTTGGTGTATATTGACAAAACGGACTAGTTTACTAAGATCCTTAGATATTGTCACCAAAAACTTATATTTTTAAGGAAAATATCTTCCATTTTAATTGAAATAGCCGGCAATTTTTGAGTTATTATCTTCTTTATTTTAATTATTACACCAGGAAAATTAGCGAAAATAAAAGAGAAATTCGAAAAAAGTCCTATCTGCGAGATTATTGTAAAATTGTCTAAAGGAACATAATACAAGACATCTCTCATTTCCTGAGTCAAAAACTTTTATTAGCTAACTTTTCTATTTAAACAAATAAGTGAGGAAAACAGTTTTTTCACTTTGCAGGGAAAACCATCAATTTTAGCGAAAAGTGACTCACAGACAGCTTGTAGGGAGTAAAATTATCTACAAAATGAGACTTGTTAAATTAAAATCGGTTAATAAACAAAAAAGTTATAGCAAAAAACCAAGAAAAGTGCCCATTTTTTAATTTGTTTATAACTATCGCATTTATTGTTAAAATTTTATAAAACTTATGACAAGTTGAGGGTTTTGTCATACTTTAAAAGAGTGCCAAAAGTGGGCGCTGTAGGTGCAATAGTTTTCGTACAATTCTATTTGTTTATAACGGAGGCTCCAAAAGTTATGAACTTTAAGCCTCTGTACAGCCGTTAATTTTCAACCAAACATGATTCTGAAAGCGTCATTGTAATTTT